GTGTGTGTGTGTGTGTGTGTGTGTGTGTGTGTGTGTGTGTGTGTGTTGTCATGCTCACCATACACAACTTCACACAAAAAAGCATGCATGTGCAAGACCTCCCGTTGGACTTTCACCGACTCATCAGGAGGATGAGACCCAACAGTCTGCCCAGGATGCATTCGAGTGCTGGACACGTCGCCCAGAGTTAGCAATACCTGATTATACCTCCAAGAAAACTGGCCGACTTTACTCACACCAGTCCTGCAAGCCTAGCAGACTGTTCGTCGTGTGTGACTATGTGTGCTGTACACTGTCATCAGGATGACCCGTTTTCCACACAGATGAGTAGATCCAAAATTCAGACAGCCTTACCTTATAATATTCTATCGAGCTGTGTGTGATATACTAAATGATTGCAATGTTTTGACGAAACGACCGTTTCATTTTTGTGTTCTGACTCTTCTGAGAGATGTGAAGCCCACCCGTCTGCTTACTAAAAGTGTTGGATGTTTGAGTCTGTGTGTGTTGTCATGTTCGCTATACACAACTCCACAAAAAAAAGCATGACTGTGCCAGACTCCTAAGAGAGAGAGAGAGAGAGAGAGAGAGAGAGAGAGAGAGAGAGAGAGAGAGAGAGAGAGATGAATACAATCCACCCTCATAATGACTGTATACAGCGATCGTTCTGGTTGGATACTGTCATCATTAGGGATGCATTGTTTGTTTTCTTTTTTCTTTTTCATAGGGGCGCGTTGTGTTGAGGATGACTGTAGTTTTTCTTTTTTTTCCTTTAGCCGATGGACCACGGAGCAAATATTAAATTGATCAGAACAGAATCAACACATGATCTTAGCCAAAAGGCCGAGAAAGGTATAAGACGGTAGTTTCAGCGATGTGCAATTGTGCCTTTTAGGCAGATGGGTGTGTGGCCACCCTACACTGAACCACACAAACGTGGTTGGCCTTGGACTCTCCGTCAATTCTGGCTTCTGGGCGAAGTCGGTTAACCATGCCAAAGTGGACAGCCTTGCAATCTCACATCATTGTATTGTGCCTTCTGGGGGAATTTGGTGTACATATCAGGTGATTTTGTGAAAGGCACACAATTAACACAGAGGGAGAGGGAGAAAGGTAGAGACAGACAAGCAGACATTCAGCCTTGCTGGCGGGCAACGGGGGAGGGCAGACAGTGACAGAGAGACAGACCGCAGGAGAAGGGAGGATGGGAATGTGGGAAGTGATTGAGAGAGAAAGACACCTGATTCAGGTTGAAGAGGGTGAATATTCCGAAGCCTCCAGCGGAATGAGTCCTCTACTACGTCCGGCTTCACTTCTCCAATTCTGGTGTGTACAGAAAAGGCCTGAACAAGAGAATCTTCAACGGAAGCCAGTTGTGACTTGCTGATGTGGCGTGGGGTATTGTGTGGAGAGAGAAGAGCAGATGATGTTTCATTTACAGAATAATAACCACTGTTTCGCCCTGGAAAAGGGACTGGACTGTTCTCGCTGTTACTGAGCGAACTTTTGGGGTGTCCCTGCCCTTTCCCACTTTTGTGATTACCGTTGGGCGCTAAACCCCAGCTTGCAGCAAGACGGGAAATAGGACCCTTGCTATCCGCAGTGGTAGCTTTTGCGCCCAGGCCCAAGAGCTCATCTGGTACACTCCCGGTAATGATCAGCTCATGTGTAATTCTTATCATGTCACGGGGATCATATACGGGAGTTGGGGACTCCTCGTCCACAAGTTCTTCCTGAAGTAATGCTCGGGTGGTCCGAGCACCCTTCATGCTTGGCTGCCCACGGGTCAGCCGGCGCATTCGGATCTGTTGCCTCTGGACCTTCTTTGGCAGCGGTGCACTGTCCTCCACGGCATGAGTGGTAGGTAATGACCATGCCGCACGACCTGTTAGCTTGGTCTGGCGGCGAAGTTTCTCCACATCTGTGATGGAGTTAGTCACTGTCTCTTGTCCAGCCCTGTGGAATCTTCTGAGGCCGACCATACGCTTTGTCCACCGTGGTGTGTAAGGAAGCCTTGGGCCGGCACCGTACTCATCAATCATCACGGCTCGAAATTTTGACTCCATAGCCAGTCTCTTCAGTCGCACATGAGTATGACTAAATATCTCCAACGACAACATCCGTCGCCTCTGCTTCATGAGGAGCAAAGACTCATCGGGTTGATTTGTCTTATCTTCCACTCCAAACGCCAACAGCCCTCTTCGTCTAGCCTGGTGCTGCTTTCGTTCCCAGCTTGTCCTGAAGCGTAAAAATTCGTTGCTCTTCTTGTCTGCGGGTGTGGGCTTTTCCATCACTTTCACCCACAAACCATCTTTCAACAGCTGCAGATTGTATCGCATCGATAGACCAAGACTCTCTGCACACATGTTGGCCTCCCTAACCTGCGCATCGGCTTAAATTCACCACACACTCAGCAGAAGTTATAAATAAACACACAACACTGAATGCCTCTCTCTCTCTCTCTCTCTCTCTCTCTCTCTCTCTCTCTCTCTCTCTCTCTCTCTCTCTCTCTCTCTCTCTC